ACGGCAATTACAGGTTAAACGCTAGTAACACCCTGGATACGGCAGAAAACTAGAATATTTCTATAACAAGGCACATTTGCAATCTAACAAATTCTAACTTATTTAGAAGGCTATAAAATAGTTGGCGGAGGGTATAAATATTCTCTCTTACCTAAAACTTGTCAGAAGAAAGATCCTTCTCCATTGTTGTCACCTCCAGTGCCCCCTCTTGCCACCATGGAGATTGGTTCTGCTATGTTTATTGCTCTGTGCCTCAGTTACAGCCGTGACACTAATCTGCCTGCACAGACCAGCAAAGGGGTCTGTGTGAGTGTGCGAGTGTGTGTGCGTGTGAGAAAAGAAAGCCTGCTGACTTCACAACTGGAAACCTAAACCTCGGGCCAAGTCAAGGCTGAATGAAAATGATCAAAGCTCTGTCCCTCATCAACAGAGTAGACAAGATTTCTCTCCCCCCTCCCAATGAGAAGTAGGGCTGTCATTAGGGATTCCCACTAAAAAGCCTCTAACAGAGGCAGACCTTCTCCAGACTGCTAGTGCCTGCCCAGCAGCCCGTGCAGAATACAGGTAGCTATTGTTCCTGAGACAGATATGTAGCCAGCCACTCAGACTCTGACAGATCTCAACAAACCAGTGAGCCTGCCTTCGATTTAACTCTTTATTTACTAGCGCTTCACTTTTTACAAAGATCTCCTTTTGCCCTGGAGAGGGAGGGACAGGGAAGGGGAAAAAAAAAATCAGTAAATTATTCTGGTTTTATTAAGAAAAATGTTTCATGTACATAGGCAGTAATCCTATGCAAATTTAGGAGTACTGACCTTCATTTTGAAACCTCATCTAGTCTGGTGCTGGACAACACAGCAATGGCACACTACAGCAGTAAAACAGGATTCTAATCCTGAAAGGGAAGTAATTCCTGCTCTGAATTCTCATAATTCATGGGGAAATAAAACAGTTTGAATAGACAACATGTATCTTTGCTCAAATATTCTAGGTATTAAGACACAGAGAAGTTCAGCACAAAGGCTTCAGCAGTTTTTCCACCAGACAGCAGTTTTAAGCACTGACTGAAAATGAAGGTAGCATTTCCAGCAGAAATTTGTGCTAGAGCAAGTACATAGCTGGCCAATTAGTTGGCATAAGAAAGAGAAGACTCATTTCAGTCTCATAGCAGTTTTATATTTTGATATAGAGATTTTACTTGCACAAAAAGTTGTGGGTTTTTCTTAGTTTTTTATGACAGAGCTTAAGTATTTATTCCCAGAGTCAATGAAGCTGTTAGACAAAATATCCTGACATTTACACTCTGTGCTTGACTTTTAGGAAGTCTAGCATTATTATATGAAAAGCTAATGACTCTGCATTCTGTATAACTATTGTATAAGTTCAGCCCAGGTGTAGACTTCAGCTTTAAAACACTTTTTTCCCTTCTTCTGTGTAAGTCAGTCTTAACTTCATTTCAAGCAGGCTACAGTAGGATATGTATATGCATGGGTATACTTGCCTTAAAGTATGTGGGTTGTATTGTTTTAAGGCAATTTTAGATGTAAAGGTCGAAGATTACCAGCAAAAATTTCACATGGCAATAAAATCAGATTTATAAAATGCACAGAAAAAAAAAAAAAAGAACTGAGACTGCTAACACAAGTGGAAATTAGAGACATTATGTCAAATCCAGTATTTTAATGTGGCAGACCCTATCAACTCAGAGAAGCCTCTAAACCCATTACAAATAAACAATCATAATATCAGCAACTTTCAACTGACATGCTAAAGAAAATACATGTGATTTAATTTGAAAGTTGACAATTATCACCTTAGAGCATTTCAAAGCAATCTTTTCTGTATATACGGGAATTTACATACATTCCAACAAAAATGCCATGCATCCAGTGCCTTTCAAAATTCTTCCAATGCAGCGAGGAAACAAGCAGACAAACAGGAAAGCAAATCAGTGTTACTCAGTGTAACAAGCCCTGTGTGGTAGAATACCTCTAGACTACCAAAGGCATTTTAAAGAACCAGGACTTTACACTTAGAAACTTCATTGCTGTTTAATTCCAGAGTATCTCTTTCATATCATCTGTAATATCAGTCTTTAAGGACAGATGCATTCATTGGACTCATCAGTTTATGTCAATGCCTGGCGTTAGGTAGGAAAAAAAAGCTTCCAATTAGTATGTTTACAAATTAATAGTGTTCTTAGATTAAAGAAAATAATTTCATATGAATTCTGAAGCACTGTGCACCAGTTTCCCTTCTATTTGAGCACACTGGTAACAAACTACTGCCACTGAATGGAATTAAACATTGATGGGAAAATACATGCCAGGAAGATCCTCTGCTGCTAGTGTACAGCATGAAAAAAACGTGCCAGCCCTTGCAGGTGAGAATGTGGTCATGAAGCTGCAACAACAAAAGACTGTTGAGTACACGTTACTGCTTGGGAACATCTACCCTACCCCACACACATATACCACTGAAAAACAGAGATCACCAATAACGCTCCCAAGGAAAGCGTGGTCTGAAGCCCCGCCAAGGATCATGTGACAAGCTCCTGGTCATATTTGATTTAAACCTCTGGTTACGCCTTTTTAACTGTAATAACCTTGGGATATTTCTCCTTGAATCAAGGGTCCCACGTGTCTTCCAGCACCATGTTATCCCGGTATGTCCTCATCTGCTGCCGGCTTGGTATCTATATGAATTTGCACACCATACAAAAACAGCATAGCATTAATAATTATCACTTTATAGGAGGATGAGAAGGAAAACTTTCTGAAAGGAGCCTATGTCAGAGCTGGGCACTCCTTGGGAAGTTTAAGAAGTTGGTGCTTGCTATGAAGGCATGATCTCCTCCTCTTCCTCCTCAGAAACCCTCCCTGCTTTTATTGAAGCAATCCTCAGGCTGCATCCATGAGGGAAACAACTTTTTTCCAGTTTTGAGGCAAGACTGGAGAGGAGTATTCTGCCCAAAGGCTTTTGCAATCTCTGGAGGTCACCTTTGAGTGGGACAGTGGCCACTCTTCCTAGCCAAGTCACCAGTAACAGATGTCTTGCTATAAAGTACATATTTATGGGATTTATGTTAAGGGTGGTGTTTGTTTACACTGACTGGCATTAATTGGCACTGATTTTTTTCTCTCTTGTTTCTTTTTTTTTTTTTTTTTAAACAACAAAAAACCACACAAGCACAGCGGGGGATGGAAAAGAGGGGCTGCTTAAGGGGGAGGAAAAGCAAGGCTTTTTTTCTTTTTTCTTTTTTTTTATTGTACTACTCATCTACCAGAAGCAGGCATTATGGGCACAACATTGGATAACTAATCTCACGTACCATAAGATATTTGAACAGTTTAATGGATTTCCCAAAATGAGAGCAAAAAGAAAGCCAGGTATGTCTTGCATAACAATCCTGCGTCTGAGAAATTTGCTTGAGAACAGACTGCTGGAGTAATTTCTTTCAGCTAACCCACACAGTCCCACTTTGTGAACAAAGACACATACCAGTATCACGTATCCATTTTCCTTTGTAGATTCCATTTTAATGGTTCTGTAGTAAATAACTTGGTATTTAGAAATTATTCATACCAGATATTCAGTAACTAACTGTCTAACAGAGGTGAAATGCTCATAATGTATTCAAATATGCAACCTCAATTAACCTTTTGCCTCAGTTTGTGGACAAACCTATCTATTAAAAGTGAGCTCCCCCATGATCAAAAGTCAGTTTTACAACTTCACATTGTTTATGGTTAGCTCCCTATATAAAAGAATATAACATGAGATGATCTTCATGAGCTGCAACTCAAATTTAACTCATTGTTATTCTTAATCTTTGCTTCCTTAATGTAAAAGTTAATGTAAAACATCATAAGAGAAAGCATTGATTTTTTAGTTTTTATTTTTTTAAATCAAGATAGTTTATTTAAAATGTAATAACTAGACTTCATTTATCTCAGAAAATACTGGGAAAAGTAAGAGAGAAAACATAAAGATATAAAAATATTTAGTCTGGAGCCAATGCCTGTTTTGCTCTGGATGTGGGCAAGTACAGCACACAGTTCAGAAAAGAACTTAAAATTAAAATATGTTCAAATATGTTTGTACACTGTAATATAAAACAACCTGGAATTACAGTTGATAAAGTGTCTTTAGCCTTCCCAAAATTTTGTATGTATATTATTAATGAAATTGCTTTCATTTAAAATGCTGTGCTAAAGAGCACAACTTTTATTTCCTCTCAACTCTTTCACAGAAGCATAATTAGGGTATTGCATTCTCCACTAGATGCTTTGTGAAAGCAAATGTCAGGGATTACGACTCAGCAAGATAATTACAAACATTCTGCATAAAAGCATAGGAAACCAATATCAGAGGTACATTTCACCAGTTCACGTTCCTCCTACAGATTACACTTTTGATTTGTGTTCTGTTGGGGAAAAAGACAGTATCTTTTTTTTTTTTTTTTCTTCCCTGATTACTTTAGAGCTAATATCAACAGACCAGAACACTTTTCAAGCAAATCCTTTTCTTTTTGTAAAGTTTCAGATTCTGAGCCCCAAATACATACTTTATAAAACCTCACTGCATTCAACACTGAGCCCAAATGCTTGCCTAGCTAACCAGTAGTACATGAATTGCAGCAACAGGACATATTCACACAATGTAGAGTGAATTAAACCATCTCTTTTGAAAAAGTTTACTTTTCAGATCAATCTTGTGCCCAGTTCCACATTAAGACAAGAGATAAACAGAACAAGATATTTTCTTTATAATAAAAGAAAAAAGAAAAAAAAACACAAAACATAACCCAAACCCACAAAACAACACCAGCACCACCCAAATGTGATGAGCATGAATAGAATTTTCCCCCTTGCTTCCTTAAGAACAGTGATTTAAATAGCCAGACTGCATTACAGATATTCCAGTTTGAACATTTCACTTCTTAGCAGGAGTTAATATTTATCAATTGTTTTAATAATCTTTGATGTATTTGGACCTACCGTTTTAAGCACTGATCCATGGGAATTGCTGTTTTTGAAGGTCCACTTTCTGAAGTAAAGTAGCTTGATGGAGAAAAACAAGTCAGGACTGCCCCTGTAGCTTCAACCTGCTGTGGATAGCTTTCTTCCTTGGAATCTTTTGATAAAAGTCAGAACACAACCTGATTTATTAATGTAGCAAAGTCATTACAATTCAGAGCTAAAATGTTATTGGACTTCCCTCCAGCTAGTACTGCTTAAGGAAGCCTTTAAAAAGCAATTTAATTCCATTCCACAAAGTCAAATTTCCTCCACAGATAATTGGTTTTCATTGTACACATAAAAAGCTGCAATGAAGCCAATCAGTCAAAACACATCTTTTTTTAGATTTATATTTATTACTGAAAGACTGACCTGCTTTTGACAGAATTGTATTGTCTGTGTTTTTCTACTGTTAATCTGAAATCTTTCTGTTAATAGCATAAGCACACACTATAGTAGCATTCACCAATGTACTATGAAATCAGAATATAATCAAGAATTCTTCTGGCCTCTTACATTCATGGACAAATAACTTTATGCTGTCATCTGTCATAGATTAAATTTTCATATATAAACTTACTGAATAAGAGCTAAAATATTCACACTGTTTTTAGAGCTTGAAACAGTCAGAAAGTACTTGCCTGGCTTGAGTCATTATCAGTATATTTTAAAACTGTCATACTAAAACAAATATTAAAACCTGTTATTGGATGTATATATATATATATTTATATATACATATAAAATACAATAATATGTATTACCAATGGGTATGTTTATATTCCAAGAGCCTGGGAACAACAGTGCTCTTTAGAGCATCTTGAAACATCAAACTTCCAAAGCTTGCACACTAATTACAGCACAACAACAAAACAAAGAAATCCAAAAGCTATCGAAGTTGTAAATGCAAAAATAGGCATGAAATTTTTCCATAATTAGAAAACTTCACAAAAACTGCACACTCAATCAAGCCCTAAAATTGTTTAGAGCAGATACATATGACTAAAAAAAAATATCTTCCATCTAAAGAAACCAAATGGAATAAAAATACTCACCAGATATCTTATCTTGCTTTGAATTCATGTATTTTTTTTTCTTTTTTTCTTTTTATTTTTCTTAGTAAGACAAGGAGATTCAAATTTAAAAGCTGTATTAGTTACTGTCCTCCTGCTCCCGCAGCTCTTCAGTTTTAGGTACAGAGAAGCTTGGCTGGTATTGTTTTGAGATAAAGAGAATGGCCTGTGTGAGCCAAGATATTCTGCACTGTCTGATGATCTCTGCAGTGCTCTTAAACTCCTCCACCGAGACAGGTATTTTTTTGCTGTCTGTTGTCCAAACAGGTTCATCAGAGCTCTTACACCCACCTTCATTTTTCAGTAGTGAAGGCCCTATGTGCTGAGAGGAGAGAGGTTTTTTTCTCTCAGTATTTATTTGCTTTCGGATTGAAGGAAGAGGCTCAGAGATTTTCAATTTGAGATCAAAGACAAATGCATGCAATGGGACGAAACATAGTTTTCTCAATTGTGCTCAGAATAGTAGTCCCTGAGTTCCAACATTCAGCCCTCCCAACTCTAGAAGCTTCACGGGGTAAAAAAGATGGATAGTTGTATATATACACACACACAGACGCACATGACACACAGACACACACACATTTTAAATATATTAGTTTTCCCCCTTGCAGCACTGCAGTCTCTCTATTGTCAAATAATAACTGTATCTGAAAAGAAAGCACTTAATAAGGCTAAGGTCAGACTGCTTAGACTTGGCATTTGCTGCGATAACAAATCAGAGATGATAGCATCGTACAGATTTATGAATTTTTTGCCCCCGCAGTCACAAACATCAGACGTTTACTTTATAAAGAAAGCTTTTAGATTCTTCCTGCAGTTTCCATAGTGATTTCATTTTTTCTCTTTTATCACAGATTGGCTGAAGTACTGCTACCCTTTGTGCTTTAAAAGGCTTGTGCTACCAACTGTCGATATAAAGGCACTGTAGCTAAAGCACACATGCAACACAAACTGTCAAAAAGAATTGAAATAGATAAATACTGGCTAAAAAAGGTTTCTGTATTTTCTCTGCTTGTCCTGAAGAGTACAGTAGAACAGTATTTTATCTGAATAAATGTAATTAACTTGAGCCAGCCATACTACTGTTCCGTTTCCCATAACCTATGATGCTTCTGTTAGAGCAGTTGTCACACACAAAAAAATAATCTCTTCACAAAAAGCTTTAGTACAACCTACATCACACAAAATGCCTATGTTTGTTAGATATAAATGAAAGTGCTTTTATTAGTTTTTGGAATCTTCTAAAGACATTGCTTATGCCAATTATATTCTTCCTCTTTCTAAGAAGTTTATCCATTTAGAGAGCATGATGGTTTAAGGAACAATTACACTGTTTCTGGCAAAGCAAACAATGTTTTCTCTTGCTGGAAAGATAACCACCTTTCAAAGTAAGCCTAAAGGATTAGTTTCTGTTTAACCCCTTGCTAAACAAATGAGACCATCATCCATTCAACAAAACAGAACTCAGCTAAGTAAACACCTCTATTCAGTTATCATGCTTTTAAAAATGTAGTCTTTAGACTGGAGAATGCAAGCACAATATTTCCCTACCCCTTTTTCAACCAGCTTAATAGGAATTGGGTGTGTGGTTAACTCTCGCCATTTGCTTCACTGTCATGAGATTTTCTATAATGTGAGTCAGAAATGATCTAACTTATTCAAAATCCTGAATTCCTAACATGTAGAGATAAAAATATTAAATTTTTTTTGAGTTGGAAATTTTCCAGGTGACTATAAAAATGATGAGTTTCCTTACTTTCATACAAAATTGGCTAAGTTAATGCAAAAATTTACAGGGACAAATATCTTAAAAACCTACAGAATACACTAGGGTTTATCAGATATTTTAATTTGGCCAGGAAAAAAAGGGGAGAAAAAGCAGGCAACTTACTTTTGGATTATCTACAGATTATCTACAGAAAAATATTTTATTGTCATCATTTATATGGCGAATTATACAACTGACTTTTGTTGGGATATTAAAATTCACCATTAGGCATTTGCATCCACTAAACAGGCACTGACTGTGAGCATAAAGTATATTATTACTTTCAAAAAAGTTTACTGGAAGAGAGAGTTTGTAGCATGGTGTAAGTGGAGGACTAAATGTAAATCAATTACCAATAGGGACTTTAAATCAAAAGTTGACAGTTACTAAGATTATGTAGATTACTGACATACTGCACAAGTGGTCCTGGTCAAAATTGATACAGAAAGATGCAGCAGTTTTTGGAAAGATGCAGACACAGCTGTTGCTGCCCTGGGACAAGAGGATGGGCTAGCTGAGCTCCCAAAGGTCCTGTTACCCCATAGCAAGCAGCCACCAAACTGTCACTTGTAGCAAACCAGGACCATCTCAAGGGCCATCTAATGGGCAAATTAAGCACTGTGTTCAAGTAATCAACATTATATGACTTATGATGAGAAATACTGTCTTGGTGCAGATTTTTCAAGCACTGGGAAAAAAAATAACCCATTCTAAACATTAGTGACTAGAACCCTGACTTTCCAATAGGAGTATGACTTTCACAGTCCCTTTAAACATTGTAGTTATTTTAAAAGCCTGCATACCTCAACAGAAACCTTGAATCACCTTGGAGAATTTCTGTGCAACAAGTGGGGAATCCTGTTCCCTAAAAAATAACTCATTAAAAAAAAAAAAAAAAAAGTTTTGTTCCTTTTTTGAGGAGTAAGGATGAAAAACATGTCATTTGCAAAACAAAAATCACTGAAGTCGAGTTTCATCCTACCTAGAACACTTAGTAATATTCTCACAGTACTTTATTTCCAAACTTTACATATATAAGATATTCAAATAGTTCCAGCAAGATTGACAAGGCAACTGACTTCATGGGGATTGTATAAAACTACTGAATTTATCCACAGTCTTTACCTGAGCTAAGGAACCCTCATGAAATTATTTTTTTAGAAGTAAAACACAAGCTATATTTTAACTGTTTGGGACTAAATAGGGCATTTGAAATGAAGAGTTGACTAACAGTTTACATTAAAAAAAAGAATTTCATGGTTCTTTGCACACAGCTCTGCATATTCTCCTTTGAGAAAACTCTTAAATACAACAGGAACGTGCTACCTAAGTAAGTAAATATTTGTGGCTGTACACTTTAGGTTAAATCTCTTTTAATATAAATGATTCTTCAATCATGCAGCTGACGGGCATCTAGGACATTCACTCATTCTCTTCATCAAATAAGAAAAATAAGTCAAGCTCAGGGTGTGACAATTCTTCCTCCTGTCACACTCTGCAGGTGGACATCATGCAGACATTATTTGTCTTTTAGCTTAGGCAGTAGAGGCCAATATTTTTAGATCTCAGATTTATTTACTAAAATACACAGGAAAAAAAAATCTAAAGGGAATTCTTCTTCCTCAACTGTTCTTCATCAACGAGACCCTTTTTCTCATCCTCCAGATTAGAGGGGCAAGGGGCTGGGGAGCAGACTAGGTAGCCAAAGAAATAGACTATGTAATTACTAGTTTCCATGTATCAGCCTGCAAATTACTCCACAAAAGAAATAAAAAATATTTTTCCTGGACACGTAGGGAGAGATCATATTCTCCTTTAAAAGACAAAAGAAACATCCCTTGTTTCACTCATGTAGTGTTTCTTAATTTTTTCTTCTGGGGAAAACAATTTGCTACTTTCATTTTTCAAGGCTATCCTCCACACAAAGTGTGTTTAATTGAAGACTGATAATCTGCAACCTACCACGATACATGAATATAAAATGTTTTAAAATGTGCAGTCCTAGTTCAATCAGTCAAAAACTCTGCAGTCTTAAATCATAGAATATCTCAAGTTGGAAGAGACCCATGAGGATCATTGAGTTCAACTCACTGCTCCTCACAGGACTACCTATAACTAAATCAGATGACTAAGAGCTTCATCAAGATGTTCCTTGAACTCTGACAGGCTTGGTGCTGTGACAAGTTCCCAGGAAAGCCTATTCCAGTGACCAAACACCTTCTTGGTGAAGAAACTTTTCCTAATGCCCAATCTGAACTTTCCCTGATGCATCTTTATTCCATTTTCTCATATCTAAATGAGCGCCTGATTTATTTACCCACCAACTTTAGAAGCCAGTAGGGTATTTTCTGCCCACCAGCATCAAAACCAGTATCATCACGAATCCCTGATTTAAGGTATCCACCATTTCTTGATAAAGAACAACCAAAGCTCTCCACTGAGGTATTTAAATATATACTTGGAAAGAAAAATAACGCAGCCTTTTAGACTGTCTTTAAGATCACAAAGATGTTTCTCTTGTACAGTAAGTGAAGCCTAAGAAGTCACTTGCTTCCTAACAAGAAAAGAAATTGCCAAAGTACAGGAGTTACAGCATGAAGTGTCAGACTAATCATTCAGAGCTAGTTTGAAGCTCATAGAGGTAAACACTCACTTTATTGGGTCATTGTCAGAGAATATGGAAGTCCTTCACCGCTTTGTTTTCAGCGACATCTCAACTTGCTAAAATATGCAGATATAAAACTGTTTGCTGAAAATCTTCCTTAATGAATGTAAGCATCAGATGCACCTAGAAGAGTGCCAGCTAGGCATCAAGGACATAACTAACTGCCTATGCCAGTTCAGTAGAGAATTTGCACACAGATCTCCCCCTTCAAGTAGATGGAGAGACAGAACTGTGCTACAAAGAAAATCCTCAAACATGTTTTATTTTTCATTCTAAAAAGACTGTTTTCAGACACTGCAAATTTTGGCTAATTCCACTACTGTTGTACCTAACAACTGCATCAAGATACAAGGGCATCTTCTCATGGTTGGAAATCAACAACTACCAAGAAAAAAAATTCTTTTTAAACCATGTCTATTCAAACACTACATGAGTGTGTGCTTATGCCTGACTGCTTCTGTACTTTCATCTACAATAGGTGTGAATACAACTATCTAAAGTTACTACAATGCATGCATTAAAAACCACCCCCACCACCACCAAATTTGGCACAAGTACCCACACATTAAACTGTTGACTTAAAAACATCTGAGCATCTTCTAAAAGGGCATCCAGAAATATGATTCATACATATCATGTTCTTTGGTCCTCTGCCCTTTTTCCTGCCTGAGAAGAGTGTTTGAAGGATTAAGATGAAGGGAGATGTGGTGGGGTTTATTTTATTGTTTTCTATATATGGTTGTGTATTTACACAGGCAAGGTCAAAAACGTTCCTAACAATGAAAGCAGACATTAATACAAGATTTGTGATGATTCTCAGCTCCTGGGAGAATCTCAGAACATCGATATGAACCCCAAGATTGTTCTGTGTGTTACACAGA